CAAAAGAAAAAAAAAATTCAGGATAAAAAGCTGTGAACCCTTTGCAGTCTTTGGCAAAAGTAAAATATCAGTGTCCTATAATTCCCTGACAGAAACAGTGGTGTAGTTCAAGTGAAAACTATTATTGATATATATTATTTGCTTCTGTAGAAAAATTGTGCTGATGTGAATATGGATCTGTACAATATACTCCATTTTATGTATGTATATGTATATTTGTTACTTCAAGAGTTATATATGCAGTTTGTTAAAAATTATCACAACATATCTCCTGCGTTTGTACAAAATCAAATGAAATGTGTATATTTTAAATCAAGTAAAATTGGCCTTATTTTAAAAATATCATACACCAATATATTAAAATCTCCAAAATGGGTCTTTAAAAAAGCAAAACAAATGAAAAGTAGAGGCCTGGCAGTAGTAAAAATATCCTACACGTGGAGTACCATCAGTGAAAAGATACTCTATTAATACTATATCTGGCATTAATTATATAGTGGAATCAAGTAATCCTTGAGATAAACTAGCCCCAAGTTATCTGGGACTTAAAATTAAATTCAGTACTTAAAAATGGCATAAAAATGAATGCAATAGATTACATAGCATTAGATGAATATATTCAGATGTTAAAACCCGAACCCTTATTTTCAATGGAGTGTTTGTGGTCTTTTGAAAGTGTTTCACGTATAACTTTAAGTGGAACCTTCCGAAACTATCTAGGCTATTTTAGAAAGCTGCGATAATTGCCCAATTTGCGCTACCCAGAGAAGGGAGATGAGCGACTATATAAATTTGATGGATAAATATTAATCAAACCTGATAAAAAATATTTTGAACAATTGACAGCACCTCTAGTGACAATACAGCATTAAGTAATTAATATCCAGTCAATGTAATACCTTTACAGGAAGTACATTCCCCCTCATCTCCCGAGCAATCCCTTAATGATTGTACCTCCATCCTGTCTGAATTCACTCTTAATTTGCAAAAATCTAACCCACTGCTATATTCTGAGGGATTCATTTAGAACTCATACTGAGATCCTCATCCAGATCTATTCCCTGCGTTTGAATTAAAACTCACTCCAATAATCAGATCAATTCAAATAATGTATTTTACTGGTTTTATGGAATTAGCAGTATAGTACAACACTTCTATATGACTTTCAATGACAATAAGTCAGTTAAAAAACAATGAAAATACAATGTATTCTTGCTTGAAATTGGTTTCCCATACTGTCACAACTTCATTCAATTCCATAGGATTTTTCTCTAACTTGGTACCCAGGAGATATGTTTAATATTAAATTGGAGAAATCTACTTTGTAGGAATAATGGCTTTTAATTTTGATTACTTTACCTCAACCATAACCTACATATTATTTGTATGCTAATATACAGAGTTCAGTCCTAGAAATTAAAATATTCATATCTTACATTAAAAAAATGTATAATAGAGGAAGCTGGACACTGGTGCTTAGACAAAGTTTAAATCTGCAATGAAATGAGTATTAAACAAATATTAATGAATAAACTTTTCATTTCTCCTTCTGCGATGTCATTTTCTCATACTTTCTCCCTTTTATTTTATTCCTATAGGACTATTCTAATGATAGAAGAAGCTTTTATCAGAAGCTTGGTCATTTGCAGAAGGCTTTCAAAATAAGGCTAAAGACTACTAAAATAGCAAAAAGTATGAAAGTAGGCAGAACAGCTCAAAAGACTGGCAATGTGATCCTACAGTGCTTAAGCAAAGGTCAATGTATGATACTTTGCATTTCAAATCTAATTTCCAAAGACACAAAATAATCTTTTAAATAAGTAGCTATTTGCTGCTTATTTATTCTGCAAATAGCTAACCATCTTTAGATCCCAAACTTAAAAATGCTGCATAGGCACATGTGAATTTGTCTGATGCTATATGTAAGTTGCAAGAAATATTCCTAGGCACTTAATTTGTACTGCAACCACAAAAAGGATGTTCACACATTTCTTAAAAGCCATAAGAAAAAAAAAAGAAACTATGATTAAACAAAAAGTAGAATGCAATTTTCATTACACTGATGGTGAAAAAGTGCTAAATAAAATACAAAATATGTAAGAAGAAAACAGCCCAATACATAGAGTATATACAAAGAAGATTTTGTTTGGTATAAGCAAAATCATTCATTAATTATTCTTTATTCATAAATTCCTTAGGACTTTTAATAAAACTAAATTTTTGACTCAAAATCTCAGATTCCATATAAATCTAGGTTTCTTAGGTTTTGGTATGTGAAGATGGAAAATTAGTAGGCAATGGCAAGTCTTCTTAATAACTTTAAATAACATGATTTTATATCCATCTCATGCAGATTATCTTTCTCTACTCATTATATTTGGTATCAAATTATACAAGCAGACAACATTATTTTTTGAAACATTGTTAAAATTGTTACAATTCTATACTTAATTGAACTAAAACCAGTGATGCAAGCGTGCAAAATGGAATACAATTCTTTCACAGTGATATTAGCCCAATGAGACTTGGCATGTAAAACTTCTCATCTAGATTTCTGGTGGGAAAAGAAGAGTATGATTGCTTGATTACTACACTCTTCCAGAATTGCTAGAAGGCAGGTGGCTTACAAATTGAATAAATTAATAAAATACTTAAGTACAATGAAATTAATATTCTCTTTTTACATTAATGCTGTTTAGCATAGTGGTTCCTAATGGGTGATATGCAGGTACAAGGTGAATTTCATAAAACAATCTAGGTGGGCCAAAAGGCAAATAATTGAAACATTTAAGTTTTTAAATCTTCTGCAAATGATAATTATAATGCTTATAAAAATACCCATGTCCTTTTAGAGAAAAATAATTCTTCTGTTTTATCATGGTAAGACCAAAATACTTCGACAAAGTGAACTTAAAATATCAAACGTTGAGAAGTACTGGCTTAGTAGATTTCAGATTACCATTTACTGTAATGAAACTAATATAAAGAAGACAGGTATTTTCATTTCTCATTGCATCACATTTATTCTGGAAAGCTGCAACTAGACTGCAATATGTGCCAAAATAAGCAAAATTAATTTGCCTTTTTATTACATAGACTATACAAACCTATTTACAAATACAAAACTACTGAATAAAGTAGATCTTATTTCTAAATAAACATGTGTATTAAATATGCATAGCATCAGACTATCAATCTGCACTGTTTTTAAAATCAGCACTAAGGGGACTACCCATGCATATTAGCTATATTTATTTCTGATACTTGTATCACAAGCTTTCATTGGAAAACACTGAATTACCAGGATATTTCTATTTAGTCACAGAACTGGATGAGACTTTGTCAAATGTAAAGAATATAATTCTACGGCCCCAAATAAATGTTTTTGTACAATAAAAATTGCAAGCGTCATTTTTTGTTTCTATCTCCTAAAAGTAATAGAGATTGATTCTTACATAATAACCACAAATATACTCAGGTTGAAGGTTCTAGTAAGCATATGAGTTTTCTAAATACAAATGTTCTATCTACATAAACATTCCAAACAAAACAGGGAATATATCCTATATCTTGATTCCTGAAAATTCAACATTTGTTTGGATAAAATATCCATTTATTTCAGTAGCATTTATTAAGAAATGTGCATTTAAAGTTGGTATATTAAACATAAAAATTAAGTAATTATTTAAACGTAATTAAACTACTTTCTAGAAGCTGAACAATGAATCAGAATCAAGAGAAAAAGATCAAGCTGTAAATCAGGAAGTTCCAAGTGCAAATCTGTCTCCAAAATGAATTAGGTGTCCCTTAGTCTCAAGCTACAACATAAGAATAAAAACATTGTCTTATTTTACAGACTTGTAAAAGGGATTACTGAAATAAAATATATTAATTCTTTTGTTAATTTTTATACTAATATCGCACACATGCTTTTTCATATGAGAATATTTCCAGATCAGTATGTTTGGTTTACCATATAAACTAATTATGCTTTTCTATCTTTAAAATCAAAATAATTTTTTTTTTATTGTGAAAGACACTACCACGTTTGCATAGCCAGGAAGGGAATTCATATTGCTCTGAAACTTAATCTGACAACTGTGTGGTGTGATTCATGATGGTGTAACCATTTGAAATTTTTTATCTCCATGGTATATCTTTAAAAAAAAATTCTAAGAAAGATTGATTATACTGACAATTGGTCAATTGAACAAGAAACCAAATGGATTGGTAGTAGAAATAACAGAAGTTACTTTTGGATAATTGTTTATGGTTATGGAAATCAGAATGAATTAATGAAAGGAACTATATTGTACATCCTGATAATGATCAAGAATATATTTCCTTCAACAAAAATTAAAATGAGAAGGGAATGTTGAATCTAAAAATCCATCAAAATCATTTTTGATTGAAAATATTTATTCACATAGAATAATACTGTAATTAAATTGAAATTATAATTTTTTCATGATCATTTTTCTTTCTTAAAATCTAATACGTGCATTTTAATTTGCACATTTCTCATATAAACCTCAACAATGGGAATGAATTAAAAAAACTTTTAGCAATGTCCTTGAATAATTTTTCATCCATTATGAAAAAGCGGTATATTTAGTATTATATAGGTGGATTTGTTAAATTAAGTTTCTCTATAGTAACTCTTTATTTTTATAACATTTCAAAATTAAACTACTTTTTATGTAACATAAAATTTAAACCTGGGAATGTGTTTTACAAACTCCATTGTTTAATTATTATAATAAACATGTGCCTCTGATAAAAAATTTCAAAGCAGTTTTGATATTAAAATTGAATGAATATTCAACTTTTTCACAGGCTACACTATCCTAAATGGTTGATTGATGCTTAAAATATAGTATATCAATGTAAAAATATGAAATCTTATTTTTCTCAAAAATTCTAGTGGCAACTGTATGCAGAAATCTCAGTTCAACACTGCCTATGGTGTTTTATTATTTACTGAATGTTATGCTAAGTACCTGTGAAAGGGGACACTCCTTGGCCAATGAACTCTGGTTCATATCCTTCAGTAAATCCTTCAGAGCATTTCTTACTGTTGTGTGAGACCATTGTTCAGGAGGCAAGTCTTCTAGTTTAGGGCAACTATTTGAGACATTGATTAGAAAAAGGATTATTACAGGATTGCATTCTGCTGCTGAACATTCCTTTAAGACAGACAGATTTCATTCTGTGCATCAAGCAGATGCATCTGGAGATTGCTCTCAGTCTCCTGATTGTTCCGATTAGTTAATTACTTTATACAACACATCTGCTGTATTGATGCATGAATTATACATCAGCTGCATGTGGCGACTATTTTTCCATGTTACTTCTACCTTCCTGCTCTGATGCGCTTGGTAAAACAATTTAAGGTGTAATGCCTTTTCACGACTGATCATGAAAAGAATTAATATATTAGCTTCCCCCCTTTTAGTTACAGCAAAATTTTAAAGCCTTGACTGCAACAATAAGAGTGAACAAGTCATTCTTTTTTCAAAATGCACACAGATGGTGCTGTTCATGATATGCAAAAATATTTTTCTCTTAAGTAAACTTTATGTAAAATACCTTCTTGCAATGCATCATTTAATTGACTAAAATGCTATATATTTTTAATGAGATCCCAGAAAAAGAAAGCTATGAAACAGAACTAACTAAATATAAAATTTCTTACCATATTGTGGATTGTTTTTTTTTACCCCCACACTGCAGTAACAAAAGAACGTAGGTAGTAATCAGAGATTTTATGCTGACATAAGCAGATTTGGAGTAGTCACAATATATCAGATTCTGATTCTTACTCAGATTTCTGCTTTATGTGACATACCTGTGCAACTGGATTTTCAGTGTGACTACGTGATAAACATCCTGCAGCATGTCAGCTACAGTCGCATCAGGAGCATCTGTCACATAGGATAGAGGAACTGGGTTCCATTTCCCAACCTGGATCAATCCTGCATCAAACAGAACGATTCCAGGAATACTATGTCAACAATGTTAAGAAATTAGATAAAAGAATATATGTTTGTAAAATTACTTTTAATGAAATTTAAAATCAATTCACCATCTAATTTTTTCTTCTCTTGCAGCAAGAATTGATAAACAGATACAGAAATCTATAGAAACCATAAATAGTGCCCTATGCCTTCTTACTCTTTTGCACACTGTGCAAATTTCTCAGTAGAGAGGCTTAATGTTAGAATAAAGTTGATTTTCTATTGAAAAATTATTTATATTTATATATAGTTAATGTTGCCTCTTCCACTGAAACTATTTGAAAAATACTATCATACCTCAATGTTCCCTATGAATAAAATAAATAGCTAAAGCAAAATTTGAAGGATGTATTACTGTTATATATACAACAACCAGATTTGGAACTCTTTAACATTCCCGAAACCAAGGAAAATTGTACTTCACTATCCCCATTAATAAATTCAAAATATTTTGTAATTTATCATGACATTTACCTTTTGCTTGGGCAGCAGAACTATGAGAATATCCAAGTGATAATAATGCCATTTCAATTAGCTGGTTGAATAACATGTCCTTCCTTACTAAAACAAATTCTGCATGTTCTTCCTTGCAATCATACTCAATGGAATTTTCATAATGTTCCACAACACAGAAAACTGGAAGCATGGTTCCTATAAGATAACAATGTTCAGAAATAACATTTGCACAGTACTTACATATACTTTCTGAGTGGACTATTAAAGAATTATTACACAATTGAACAAATGGCCAACTCTAGATTTTGCAAGGTATGGGAAACAACACAAACACATTTTAAAAAGAGTGCAAAAGATTTTGATCTGCTGACGAATTCAATACTGAATTATATAAAGAATAAGGTTGCTTGCAGAGAAATAATCCTGGTTGTCCATAACATGTATGATTACTTGTGTAAAGTACTACTTCAGTACTACTATGGTACTTAAACACACATTGCAGAAAACTTCAGAAGAAGTCACTGAAATGCAATTTACATAACTCTATTTACAATGAAAATTGTTGGCAGTACACAAACTACTATAGAAAATTACTGAATTAGCAGTACTCATAAAATATCACTTTAATCTGATTTTTCTTTAAATTTTTATATTTAGAAAATAGTAAAAAACCACAATCTAATCTGAGCTAACTGTATGGTTTGGAATAAAAGAAAATGAACAAGAGAAAACTGAATATAGAAGATGTTTTCAAAAGCTAATTACTGTAAATTTATTGTAATCCAAATTCCACACACACACACACACACACACACACACACACACACACACACACACCTTAGACCTAGGAATTCTATTGAATTCAACAGGTCTTATTTCTAAATAGACATGGTATGATTTACATGGTATTCTTTATTTTTTTTTAATAAAATGCTCTGCTATATATATTTCCAGAACATTTTAATATCCATTTTAAGGAACTATTGACACAAAATTGTATGATTCTATGGAATAGATATGTCTACATTTTAAGGCAGAATCTCGCAAACCAACTACACTTGCTTGCAGAACAAGCTCAAATTTGCTAGTTTGTTAAACAAACTCAGCATGAAAAACAATTCTAAATGCTTACCAATATTGTACATATCAAACATTGTCAGAAAAAAAATCTCCAGACAAATATCACAATATAAATTAGTGAATATTCCTTCATTTCTTTTCAGAGGTTTGATAAGCTCTCACCTACCAAAACCAGAACATAGCAATGAGGCTAGGAATTTAAGATTATTAGAAGCCTTATTGCAGAATATTCATTAATTCCCTTTATACTTCATATCCATATTTCAGAAATACAATAAGGTATCTATTTACCTTATAATTTTCTTACACTGACCTCAAAACAAGAGAGAAATGCATTACTAAAACTAAAAAAAAAAGCAGTGTGTGTGAAATATGTGTCAACTGAAAATGAAAATCTTTCCCCATTAGGATAAGTATGCTATACTTCTATATGATACTATGATGACAAAGCTTCCTTGATTAGTGTAACTTGACAAGTTGCTGATCACTCAAGTACTTAGCAAGACAGTGCAGAAACCTTATAACCTTCTAGTATTAAAGGGGGAAGTACTGGTCAGTGTTCAATGCTAAAAATATAGTATGATTTAAACCTGAAAGCAATGTCAGAAGATTTGCTGAAGGTTTATGAGTCTATATAAACAGAGTGTCTGCTGTAAGGAGCAGAGAAGTCTGTTGAATCCCTGTCTAAAACTGTCCTGGCATTAAAGTTTGCTGTGCAAATATCACATAATACCAGACACAGCTGAAATCTCCTATTTAGGAATTTATGGAACTTATATGTTTACAGGCGTCAGAAAGTCCTTTTTACATAGCCTCAGTGCTTCAAAGTACAATATTAATGGACTCTGTTTAAAAAGCAGCAATAAATTATATTTTTAATGCGTTACCCTTGGCTTTCTTAAGATGCATACATTCTTGGCAAACAATCAATAAATAGGGTAATCATGAGCAGAGGCCAAAGAATTTGCTGAAGTGCTGTTATTCTATTTTTAATAGATACAGATCTAAACAATATGGACTGCTATGTCTATTCATTTTAAGATCAATATATTCTTTGTTTTCGCCAATTCAAAGAAAAAGTAAATTATTGTATGATAAATGTTATGGATCAGAATGGAAGCCACTGCCTTCTAACTTGATGCTTTTAATTGTCTCAGTATAGCAATTCCAAGAAATCTGACTTAGAAACATGCAACAATAATACTGAGGAAAGAAGTATTAAATGAATTTGAAATTATATGTTGTATTTTGATTAAATTATCATGAGTGCTATTTATGAACCAAAAAGATCATCATGTATACTATTAATTTTACTTCAACAAAACCATAATACAAACAACAGCCATGGACACACACATACCGCATCAGTCACTGGCTCTAAAAGCATTTTTTCTTGTGTGAGAATGTCTAATTACAGCAAACCAGTCACTGAACAATATGACACCCAAGTTGTTCATTGCTCAGTAATGAATTGTACTTAAGGAAATAAAAGTGCGAAAAAATTGTCATTATAAAGGAGTTTTCCACAGAACATCAAAAAAGCTTTAGATTACTTTCTTGAATTCAACTAGCAAATGTGTCAGAAATGTTGATCTTCCAATATTGGATTTTTGTCAAGAGCAGATAGAAGTATAAATCTGGCTATTTCAAGAACCTTTTCTATTTATTCACGTTATAAAGTATTTTGACAATATACATACAGATGTCTGCAAAATGAGTTTATAGGAAAATTGACCTTGATTAATAGTATTATTTGTGTTCAGTGAGAAAAATAATCTGAAAGTATGACAATTTTTTCCTATTAAAAAGTCCCCACCCTGCAAAACAAGATGCTCCATCCAGGCATACAGTTCAGTATTCCAAGTACCATTTCTATCAGATTTAAAAATGCTATATTTGTTGAACAAAAATGCCATTGCGAGGTACAGATTATACACAAACTTGAAGGTAGGTTTCTTCTAGGTCAATATATATAATTTAAAAATTAATGTTTCATATTATTATAGTGTTACCTTTTCTAATTTGTGTTTTCATCAGGTGTCCAGAGTGTTTTAAAGGCACTCCTTGCATCTTAGTTCCTGTACTTCCAAGTCTTCCTCTTCCTAATGGGCTCCCATTCTGTTCCAAGCGGGCAATTTTGGCTGGTGGACCCTTCGGATCGCTTACATTGTTAGACATTTCTGAATGTTCTTTCCCCTGAGTTGTCTCGTTCAAGTGATCCATACTCAGTCCCGCCTCTAAAGATCACCTGCCATAATTTGAAAAAAAAAAAAAGTGTTGTATACGCGTGCGTAATTTTATGTAGGCACATGTACATAATACATCTGTATATCATGTTCACATAATATTAACTGGCTCTTAAATAAAAATGTATTTATGGGAAAAATGTTTAACTATCAAGCCTATTTTCATATATATATATATATATATATATATATATATATATATATATATATATATACATACATACATACATATACATATATATATACATATATATATATATACATATATATATATACATACATATATACATACATACACACATACACATACATACACACAAATATAGATCATATATATATATATATATATATATAATATATATGTACACACACACACATACACACACACACACACATATAGTTCATTATATACCTGTATATGAGATTTATATCTTAGATATTATTAGTGAGAACTGCATATATATTTAGTAGCATTCATAGAATAATATAGTCTGCTATAAATTTTTTATTTAAAACTTCTAAGATTGTAACTTTAATGTGATTTATGAGTTTAGTATTATTTCCTCAAATTATTAAAATATTTCACTTCAGTTAATAGAAATCTTGGATTATTTAACTTCTCAGGAAATAAAGGGATTAAAACTTTACCCAGGCATTTAATAAACTAGGAATATGAAGTTTCCTTTATATGCATCTTTAAAAAAAGTCTCCTATATTAACTTAGAATTTGTAAAAAGAATTGTTCTATTAAAGGCAATTCAGGATCAGATAAGATTAAAAACTTATTTTCCTATAGCAACATGTCAAATTCTAGGTCACTTCAGTTACCATATAAATGCCACATGTGGAAGTCTCTTTAAGCCTTCCTCACTTTCTTGGGTATCAAGTTGAAAATCTTTCAAACCTATTACACCATTTGATGAATTTTTATATATTGACAAATTTGTATTATTAAACTAAACAAAAGCTGTTAGCCTAACTACTATTATTCAATATTGCTTTCAAATTCTTTAATTCTTTTACTATTTTTTGTAGTACAACACATACACAGTAACCACTGACTACTATAATACAAAAACACAAAAGTACTTTTAATTATTAAAATTATATTAATACATTTATGTATATATTATTATGAACATATATTTGCTTTATAATAGAGGGTCTGCTACCTTTCTGAAGATTTAATCACACTATCTGCTTTATTATATATGCAGTATAAACACTAGGAACAGGTGACCAGTCATTTATGAAGCAGTACTTACAAAATTAAGTGTAAACACTATAACTGCAGATGGGAAGGGTGAGGTTACATAAAAAAAATCAATCCATTAATAAATAATGTTTTAATCTATAGTAAAAATATCCCCTTTTTTTCAGCTCTGACAAGATTTTCATTGTAGTGATAATGCTGTATATTCTCACTGCAAATTTGTTCCTTACTTAATCATATCTGCTTTGTCTTTCATAATACAAACTAATGTTAATCTTAAAGAGTTAGCTGTATCCTTAAAACTGCCAATTGAATAAATATAAATTTTAGAATATAAAATTATTTATCCTTGCACTCTGGGGTGACATGCTGTGAACCAAAGGTTTACCATTGATTGTGGTCCCATCTGTTTTTGGTTATGAGTCTCATTAACAATAAATATGCCTACTTTAATCACTTTTTTAATCAAGATTATTCTTTTTCATTACATTAACTGCTATTTAACTCAAAACTGCATATCTAAATTACAAACATCTACAGAATCCTTGGTAGTACTTCATTGAAACATATTTTAATACCCAAGCTTTTCTTTCCTTAATTTGAAATTATTTTGAACTATAAAATTACTACCACTTTTTAACAATTTAAACACATTTTTGTGTCATTAATTAACACATATATTTCTCCAGCCATAATCAGTGAATAAAGATATTATGCTAGCAATCAATTTTATATACAGTATAGTGACTAAAAATACTGAATTGGTCATATCCACTGTATCTACACTGTTCAGCTTAATCACCTTGCAAAAAAGATTATAATGCAAAAGAAATGTAAACAAAAAGTGCAAACAAACTTCACATAATTTACCAATTTAAACTTTTACATTCAAGGCTAAAGTTCAACAAAGCTTCTGAAATACCAATGAGATATACTCAACATGATTTGTCACGAAGAGTTAATAATTATCTTTAGATATGACAGGAAGAAGAGTTTCTGCTGGTTTCCTATTCAAGCATTTGTTCTTTATAAGGTTTTAGAAATATATATATTACTGCCTGTGTATCCTGCTGAAGATGACATTTTAAATATTTTGTGAGTGGATTTCAGTTGTTTGCATATGGTTCTGCAAGTAGAAATGACTACTGTATCTTCAATACTTTGAAACTTAACTCCCTCCCCTTTCTCTTTATCTCCTCCTCCTTTCTCTGATAAAGCCCCTTAATCACATTTAAAAGAGGCTCTGTTCTATCCATTCCATATGGTTGCGATAATCCAGGCCAAGCTTTCACTGTGACCTTTTAAAGAGACAAAGAAGCAAAACACTATCTAGAAACAGGAAGATTGCAGTTTGAGTGAAATTTCATAAAAAGACCTGAAACTCACCACTTCAAAACTTGACAGCATATAAATAATGGAAACAAAGGAGATTTCCTTTGCAGAATGATGTCTTGAAGATGATTTCTAAATCCTTTTTTGTAAAAAAATAAAATAAAATAAACTGAAGGATACTTCCTTCCAAAATTCTGTTTTTATTAACATAGCAAAAGCAAAATATATAAGCCAAATGTAGCAATCATTGAAGGGGAAGCAATAAAATAAAACCAAAGAGAGACAGAAGAAAGTACTAGTAAATTTACAGAAACATGGTGATTGCAATAATAGGGAATGATAAGAAAGGGAAATTATTATAAACAATTATTATAAACAAATTAATAATATTTAAACAATGCTGACAATACTGAATCAAAACATTTTTTTAAAAAAGGAGGGAAACTGAGATTAGGAATGACCTGCCTAAGTCTGAACAGAGGGAAAAGTGAGAGAAAGAGATGGGGGTGAGATAGCTTTTCTATTTAACACTCTAGAAAGCAGAAAAGCTAGTGAGTTTTCTATTTATAATTATTTTTATAATAATTATATTATAAAAAGAAATATATAGAAAATACAATTGAAGACATGCCTCCTTCCCACAAAAAGAAAAAAAACTAACCTAAAAACTTTCTGCACAAAGCTTCAAAGAATAGAAACAAAATAAAAATACTAAAAGCTACAGAAAAGTAGAAACTAAGGATATAAACTCTTAGTTTCACTATCGCCCCTGTTGTTTATTATTATTTTGTAATGCATAGAATTCCTCTTTCTCATTTACCCGGAGGGACGGACGGGGGGGGGGGAGAGAGACGGAAAGAAATACAATCACCATCAAAAGTAAAACAAAAGCAAAATCCTTCAGTTGAGAAAATTATAAATAATATACTTAGGAAGAGTTAAGCAACATCAAGGTTAGGGACAAGAGATGGGAGTGAGAAAAAGGTAAGTCGGGTTACCAAAAAACAGTAATAAATTAATCCTCTGAAATTTCGAATTCTTGTTGTCTCTCGGCTGGCTATAACTGTTATTTAGGCCGGTTTGGTGGTTGTTGCTAGATGTTACTCTGTGTGTGTGTGTGTGTGTGTGTATACCCCGGACTCAGCTTGGCTTGTTCGCTCTCGCCCTCTCGCTTGGTCTGTCCCCATTAAATTATTAGTTGACTCATCACTCCTCCTCCTGCTCCTGCCGCCGCCGTCCCTTGCTCCTGCTCCTTCCTCTTTTCTTCTCCGCTACTGCTTTCTGCTGCCGCTTCTGATGTTCCTGCTGCTTCTTCTTCTTCCTCCTCCTTCTCCTCATTTTAATACAAAATAACACGGAGGGCTACCGGCTTTATTTTTTTAAGGGAGAGATACAGTTTAAGACAGTAGGAGGACACAGCCTCCCTTCTGCTGCCTGGAGCTCTTCCCCGGCGGCCCCGGATCATCCGACGCGCCGTCCTGGGAGGGAGAGACAGACAAGCAGGAGGAGGTGGTGACGGCGTAAATCGATGCGCGGGGGTTGGGGGGGGGGAAATGGAAGAAAGGGCATCTAAGAAGGGGTGGAAATGGGAATTGGATTAGAAAGGGGGCTGGAGGGTTAAGGCAGGAGGGGGAGGGGGTTAAAACCAGAAAGCCGGAGGTGGGGGGGAGGCGAAGGGAGGGGTAGAGAGAGCCGAGGGGGTGCGATTTCCGGCACAGGGCGCGCAAGAATTTGTAATCAGCTTTATTAGTGTGAGGCGGCTGTGCATTTATTACACACAATACCCGGAATAACGGAGCAATGCGGCCGAACGAGATGCCGCTGGCACGGGCACTGGGCGACCGTGTAGCGTATGCAGAGCGGTCTGCCGCCGGGTACGGGCCAAAACAGAAGCAGCAGTAGCGACTTCCTGCTAAAGCTAGCGAGAGAGGGCGCTCAGGGGTTGAGAGGGCAGCAAAGGGGAGAATCGATGGACGGGCAAGGAAAAGCAAGTGTAAAGTCCCTATAAACTCCAAGCAGCTATGTACATAGTTCCTTCTTCAGCAGCAGCGGGACAGCAGCAGGATAGGGGTAGGGAGCACTCGCACTAGTTGCCAAAGGCGAACGGAACTCCCTTGTCAGTGCCGAGAGGTAGCGCACCTAACAAACTTAGAAACAAAGTGGGGCTCGAAAGAAATGGGCATCTGCCCAGGCAGAAAGATCTACAAAGATGGGGGATGGAGAGCAGGTGCGCATAAAGCACAGGAGCATATGGCTGGTATTCAAGATTTCTTAGCTAGGAGAAACAGGATGGAGCTTGCTATACTCTATTAAATAGAGGAGAAGGAAGGGGGGAATACCTTAATTGTCACAGCTTAAAGTAAAAATACATATACACACCAGCAGCCATTTCACTTTCTCTTGTACCAAGTTTGAACCTAATGCTTGAATAGACAAATGAAAATGCTACCAGTTTTAAGACTGAAATGGGTTTCTTTGATTAGTTCTTACAAAAAAGTACTACCCATACAAAAGTTATATTCCATGGTTTTCTTAACTAAGGTTGTGCATTTATAGAAGCCATTAGATAATATTAATACTGAATAAAGCCAATTCAGTATTGGTAACCTGCTCCAATAACCTGTGCCCTAGCTTGAGTAATAATTTTCCAATGATATACTAATGAAGTGTCTTACATATTATGTATGTGAGGAATTCATTAATAAAATGGATTAATGTAAAGTATTATAATCTAAATATATTTATATAAATGTTAGTCAAAATAATTACAACAGATCTCAATTCCTTGGTTGTTTCTTTGAAATCTTATTGCCTTACAGAAAAATTGGGCAGGACATTTATGTAACACAGATGTTCAGATCTCAGACACAGGTTTGTTGCAGACAGGTTCACATAGACAAAAAAGTCAATTTGGAAAACTCTTTATGTGCCTGCACTTTTTTTAAGTAGGGAGGAGTTATAGTGAAAAATAGATATAAAAGAGCTCAACAGAACAGTATTGTAGGACTTGGACCAATTCTTTGCAATGCTGCACTAAAGTGCATCATCGTTATAGGGAATAACTGAGAATGAATAATTATACTAATGCAAATATGACATGGAAATGGGACAGCTATAATCATCCCGAATAATCTGAAGTACTTTATATTGCATGTTTTTATAGGATGTAAAATAACAAACACAATTATATACATATTAGGTATACATCAGACTGAAGCAATATTTCTGCAGCCAGAGGCTGCATTTAAAAAGTCTTGAGAAGACTGTAAAAAGAATGTCATGACATCAATTTATTACATTTTTTGTTTTGTTTTTTAAAATCTTTGATAGCTGTTATAAGACTTTTTGACACACATACTTACATATGTTCCCATCATACTATTTTCAAGATACGCAGTTATGCAGAAAAAGAATAAGTAAATTATAAGAGGACAAAGTAAAAAGAATCTTAGCAAACAAAATTTATCAGTATTTAACAATTATACCACCATTATCTAGAACTTAGTCCATTTTTTTTGTGGTACAGTCTGTGGAAGGGTTACCCACATTAAGTCTATATGTGAATTTCATTTTCCAGCATTTTCAGCAATGACCATGCTGTGTAAAAAAGTTGGGAATTGAAACCTACATACTGTGATTACTCAAGATGGAAAAACATCTATATGATGTATTATCAATCATTTTAGTACATTGAAGTTAGAATGGAGGTTAGCCTGCCACAGAAAGACACCAATCAAGCTAATTCATTTGCAACTGTAATAATTAACAAAATTAATGGTACAATAAATATGCTCTATCAGGTTAGAAGCAAGCCACATTGGCAGAAAGGAAAAAACAAGTCCATGCAAACTAATACGATAACTTTTTTACTAAAATACTAGTGACCAGAAGCTAGTTAAAATCTCATTTTCTAGATCTTTAGCCTAGATGCAGTCACTTAATTAATTTCTTCAAATATATATAAAACAAAGTATCTATAGCTAGCAGAAATTACTATTCTGCTTTTAAATGCACAAACACACACACAAACACACACACACACAAAAGTAAGTGGTGTGTCACATGAACAAGAATTTTTTTAAAAATAGATAACTAGGAAGTAATTTTTTCTTAAGGAAAATGAAAAACACAGTGCTGAAAACTTCAAACAAAAAAAAGGTATAAATTAGCAAATGTTTTTTTTAAAAAAGTGCATTAAACATATGCTTCCTTGTACAATATCAAAACAAAGCATTGAAGGTACACAGTTACATAGGCTGGCATCTACCGAAGTAGATATAAACGCCATAGACTGTGCAGAAAATGGTAATGGGGTGAAATACATAAAATATTTATAGCAGTCAGGAATGCACAGAATATATTACTATATTAGAAATAAAAGAGTATGATGCTTGAAACACAGCAGTTATTTGAAAGATCAGAATATAGAAGTTAATATTCAGCCTGTCTGTGCATACACAAATATAGATATACATAAAATTAATGCAAGACATTTCTCATACGAATCTTCCTAATCAGTGTCTAACTTGAAATACTGTAACTAGCATGTGTAAAATAGCTGTCAAACTCTAGGATTCCATACTATGTGTTATTTGAAATATAATTCTTTTCAAGTCAAGCAGTTCAGTTAACATATTTGTAAATCTATCTAAAAATCTGTCATGAATGTGCACTTATTAAAATTCAGATGACTCCCCTAGAAATCAGTGTCACTATTCCAAAAGAACTAAGTACAGGACTACAACTTATTCACTTTAAGACAATTACTTAAGAGATACTAAGGAATAAGCTTGACTAAAGTTTATAAGGCATTATCTGTGCACTGAAATTTTTTTTGTTATCAGTGATGTGAGCCACACAACATACATTTCAGAAAAATCCCAAAAGTTGAAAATAAACTTCAAAAATGTTTTAAAAATAAGCAGCTATATGAACAGTTTAAGCTATAACAGGTGTGTCCAAAGTGTGTTAGGACTAATGACCAGGCTATAGAAATTTTATGAGTGGTAATATTAACATATATGGACGGCTTTAGTTTAGTTTAGTTTAGTTTAAATTCTTTTATAGTTGGAAAATCAATTTAAATTAATTTTAAATCCAAGTTTATAATATAAATACTCTCTGGCTCATAGAACTCCACACACGCACACACACACTATAATTCTATCTACCTACCTACCTAATTTAACTCTCTCTCTCTCAGACAGAGAGAGAGAGAGAGAGAGAGAGAGAGAGAGAGAGAGAGAGAGAGAGAGAGAGAGAGGGAGAGAGAGAGGGAGAATATGCAAAACCTGGAAGCAGTGACAGGCAATTATTAATTTTCCTCTTTCAAAGGGGCCCTACGTGGTAGTTTTAATTTTTTTTTAAAACGTTCCAATCACAGTATAGACCTGAACTTGCAGTATTAAGGATAAAGATATCTATGCTATTAAAATACAAATGTAAAACAAAATTTATACTGTTATTATCATTCTATGAATAGCTAAATATCTGCCCCAGGAGCATTTAAAGTGACTAGGAATAAAGAAAACAAAATTAGAATGATTATTGATAAACTCAAATTGAAAGATACCTTGAAAAAAAAAGATCCAATTAAATGCAGTCATTCTTTCTGTCTCAAAAATGCATTTGTTTCATTACTATGGACAGCTTTTCTGAAAGTATTTAAAATTTGGAATGAAATTTACTGGTTATAATATGGGAACAATAAGAATCACACATGTGAAAGTATAATGATGAAAAAATAAATAGTCTTGCAAAGAATTTATAACACAATTAATGTATTTTGAATAATATAATTTTATTAGATAGTCAAGCTTTAAATTGATTATTCTAATAATTAACTGCAATTAAAATCTGGCCCTTACTTTACACTGGCCATACTACATTTCAAAAGAACAAAGTAGAGATTTGGGAAGAAACATTCCACAATATTCTGCAAATCAAAAATACTAATATTATAATCAGATATTAGATTTTAATAAATCCTGTTTAAATCAGACGAAGTTAATGGAAGTGTTATGAATTTAGATTTGTTTATTTTTCTGAAACGTGTATTCTTTAGACTTTGTCTAAAACCTCTAAATGTGTACAAATTAATTTCCTGTTGATTTCAGAGTAACAATCTGGATCCAGACACAATTTGATCTGGCTTATATTGATGGCAGGAGTTAAGTTTAGGTAATGATTGGAATGTGGTTACTGTGGTTCTTCGTGTGCATGTGTCCCTGTAAATATGTGTATAGGACAGGGTTCTGTGATCCTTGTATTTGCATCCAATATCAGGCACAAAAGCTAGGTTTTGATTTCATGGAAAAAACAACTTCACTTTAGTTTGGAGGTACAAAGCAAACAATTTTTTCATTGTTTTGCTCCAATATTTGTTTCCTTAATTATTATTAACTATAGGCAAAACCAAAATGTTTGTACCAAAAACCTTTAGTTGTTAATGCAAATTATTTACAACTATGGTAAAACTCAAGTCACGAGCACAAAGTTGTATATAATGGAAAACAGCTGACACTATGACAAAACAATCAAAACTTATGTGTATTTGAA